CTAACAGGAAAGCAGGGAAATAGCTAAACACAGCAGAGACCGAACTGCTAACTGCTAAACTAAGTTGGCTGTTTAGGTTTTATTTCCTCGCCCCTGTGGTGAGTGAATCTGCCTGCAGTGAGAGCGGGGGCTAACCGGTGCTTCCTCCTTATGCTCCACTTCACTCAGCTGCTAACATAGCCAGTTAGCCTCCGCTAGCTTCCCAGCTAGCGGCTCTCCGTTTGGATCCAACTGGAGCACCAAGCCCTGGTTTGTTATTCAGGTTAATGTGGGAAGAAGCAGCGGTTATATCGGGCAGCTGAATGAAGCTGAGTGAAGCGGAGCCTGCGGAAGAAACACCGGGACCGTCTGGATGTGATAGTCCGTGGAGGTGCTGCAGTACTCGACGGCACAGACAAGGCAAGTGGGGGGGAATGTCGGAGAGCAGAGGTAGAGGGAGGAGTGGCTCATGACACACTTTGTTTTGCTCTACAGGCAGTGCACAACAGCGAACCTAGCGGTGAAACGATTTCGCTTATTGCTCCTTTAAGTTATCCTGTGCCTTACAAACCATTTACAAATCAAAAGTTTTGGCAGTGTATTGGCAATGTGGTTCCACTGATACTGTTTTAAGATAGAAGTCTGATGTGGATTCTTTTGTAAAGATTTTGCAATTTTTTTGCACAATGTTCAATTTCTTAACATCTGTCCACAATAAGTATTCATTGTTTTTTTCACGGAACTGCATTTTACATAGAGCAGGCTACTCTCTGTTTAACTTGCTCCTGAAACCTGGCACCTCTTAAGCCCAGAGTACACTGTGCGATTTTGGGCTGTCTCAGATGAAAGATGACCATCGTGAATGAAACGTGACGATATCTTTGGTCACGGCTCTAAAACAGTGGTCCTGAGTCGCACAGTGAGAGAGGTTCAAGGATGGCCATGGTCACAGTCTTGCTATCAAAGACAGCCTGGGATAAAATTCTAACAGTGTCAGAAATTTGGGATGACCATCTCACTGTGTGACTGCTGTTACCACCTGTGTCTACTAACCAATAGCAACCAAAACCAACACTGGCGCTAACTGAAGCAAATAGCTGGATAGCAGCTCGCCATGGAGGCAAAAGGCGCAAATAGAAATGTGTGGGAATCCAGCAAAGAGGAAAACCTTGTGGAGCTGTGGCAGCAGAAATCTTGTCTGTAGCTATGATGTGTCCTCCAACTCTAAGTACGAAGCATGGGAAGAAATAGCAGCGGAGTTGCAACTACCTAGAAGCTAGCAAACACACACAGACACACCGCAGTATAATGTATAGGTTATTTAATAATGTGACCCTCTATGTTGTGCTTCACAGTTGGAGAAGTAATAAGCCGTGCAGCAACCTTGCACACTTAGTAGGGGAAGCTTGTATCATACGTCGTAGCCTGTGTTTCAGTAGGTGCTGTTATCGCACGGTCTGCGTACATCACCCTTGATGTCGTGCCCAGGTTTATTAGATCCATGTCGCACAGTGTAGCTGCACTAAACTCATAAGATTGCTAGAATCTCACAGTCTGTAGGAGGCTTTAGATATCACAGGTGCATCAATATGAGGTTTGCAAAGTCATCCAGTGCACCAGACTGGACCATTTTACAGGCCGGTTCTGGCCTGTGGGTCGTACCTGTGACACCCCTGAAGTTTATATTTTCAATTTGGACATTTTGTTTTGTATGTGTCCTTTAAGTAAGCAAGAATCGGCAGTACATATGAAATCTAGCCTCTGATTTTCTAATGCAGGCAGGCAGTCCAAAATGCATCTGAGGTGCTCTGATTGTAGTTAGATATCCTTTATTGATTCATGGATAAACCAGCATCTTTCAACTAGAGAGTCTTCAACAGGGTACCTTGATGAAGTATCTTAATAATATCGTATCGTAGGGCCCTCAGGGTACCCTGATGAGGACTCTCTAGTCTTCGGCTCAAATGCATTTTTGGACTGAATCAGCTGGCCAGTCACTGTTTTTTTATCTTTATATGACTATTTGCCCTATTCCTGAAGAGCACATGATTTATTTCAAATTAACTAGACAGTGTCTTAACCCCATTCAGCACTCCCTATTTTTTCTTTAAGGTTATGTAGTTATCAGGTTGAGGTAAGACATGGTAATGTGCACTAAAATAGCAGTCACTGTGAAGACTGTTGCAAATAGTTGCTTATTTATCAGGGTGGGAATCACCAGAGGCCCCATGATACAGTATTTTTAAGATACATAGGTCACGATACAATGTTATTGCGATTTTAAACATGTTAAAATACGCTGATTATTGCGATTTATGACCTTTGTTTGTTTGTTTGTGTTTTGGCCAACTCAAAAATGTAAATTCAACATTCACTATCTCTGTTTTTGTTCTGTATCATCTACTGAGAGAAATATCAGTCTCTTTCGCTGCTAAATGTGTTGTGAATATGAATGATATTATTTGTATTTTACGTTTCAATCTGCATACTCGTGGATTTAACCCTCAGGTGGATTGACTGAGTACCTGGGAGATTTTGACAGGCGGGGAGCTGTTGATGAACCGACAGCGGAGATCCACCTTTGAGCCAACATACCCCGACTTCCCATCATCCATTTCCACAGTCTGCCCATGTATCCCTGGAGGAGAAACACAACAACGTAAAAATACTTTCACCCACGCCGGGCATTCACACACACAAAATACACACGCGTTGGCAGTATCAGACTGGCAGACTGTGAGCACTTCACAGTCAGCACAGCATGTTGAGCTGATCAAGAGAGCTGAGCTGTCAAAGGTGATAGTGTTCAGCAGCGTGAGAGGTGCGCTGAGGTCAAAGGTTGGGGATTAGAGTGAGGTATAAATAAGCACGATTTGTTTGGTTACTGTTCGCACTGACTTACTGATCCCTTTTAACAAATCCACGGCACCTACACCCACTTCCTGAGTGTACATAAGTCACGTGTGTGTGCTTGTGTCTATCGGGTACACTGTCAGTAAAATCATGTTTAATGTAGATGTGGTTCATAACGAATACATTAACTGTTATTAATGATGCCGGATGAAGGGCAATGATGGTTGAACAAAACAGCTCAGGACAATGGCTGCTCGCTTTCTCATAAACAGTTGGCTGCACAGTATGCACGCACACACACACGCACGCACACGCACGCACACGCACGCACACGCACGCACACGCACATACCTTTCATGTTAAATAGCTATCATTGTACCTCAAATGTCAGCCATCTTTGATTAACATATGAAAATCCTTCCTATTAAAATGTCTTTATCATTAATAACTTTTCATTACGAAATCCTTTTAATTTTATTTTTATAGTCAAATCTATATAAAAATAAAAGCTTATATATAAATAAGAAATAAAAGAAATGCATCCAGACATGCCAAACTAAAAAAATAGAAATTATGTTTACAACGTTCTTAATGTTTTTCAAAATATAAAGTGGTTTCACTTTATGTATTTAAAATGTAATTAGTCTAGATTACCTAGTGTGCATTTCTATTCATAGGGCAGTGATACTAAACTTAAATCTGGCTCGTTAGAGTGCAGGGTAGCCAGCCTACTATTTTTTTTAGGGATTTTTTATATTGGAATTGAATGTAAATAAGGTGGCAGAGTGCATAAAAAACTGTGAAATAGAGCTACTTTCTATTTAAAAAAAAAAAAAATCTGTTTATTTCCTTGTGCTACAAAAGCACATGGTTAGGCTTCTGAAAAAAACACCATGGTATGACTCGACATTCATAAGGGAAGTGAACACCAGGCTCCTTGGTGAAAGTCCGGTGTTTGTTGCACCAATCCACCACCCCACTGCCCGCCCTAATGAGATTTCCCAGCTCCTTAAATTACATTGTTATCCAGCAGAATTATACACTGACGCTACCCGGCAACATATCATACTACTGTGATAGGATGCCTTTTTCGTCAGTGTCTGACGCTGAAACCACTGACCAAGCGTATGTATTTGACGACTTTGGAACAAGAATGGGTTGCAGAGTGAAGCAAGTTAAGTATCTCTGTTAAAGGGGAAAAATCATCACTTTCATCAAAACTTACCTTGAAACTTTTACTTGAAATCTGGTAAATTCTCACTTGTAATACAAAAATAAAAGTTCTGCAACATACAACCGACATACACGTTAACTTCACAAACGAGATGATCATGTGATCTCTTTCTTTCCTCCTGAGATCTATTTGGCTTCCTCTTTTGATAACACAATAAAAGCTCCTGAGTGGGCTTCCTGTCAGAGTCTCACAACACCTGGCTACAAGTACAGGGTAATATGTATTTGTGACAAAGCAGCAAAATGTTCGTCATTCAATAAATGTCATTATGGAAACAGACTTTTCAAACATTCGGCTGGCAACTTTTATCTTTCTCAAACATTTAACGCCACAAACCAGGCGACTGGAAATTTTACTACATGAATACAACTCTCAGTGAATGACAGTGTGAGTGTAACCCATATCTAGAGGTGATTTCCATTTTTGACATATTGTATTTAAAAAACAGATACAATGAGGTGCCGCAGTTCAAGGTTCATCATGTGGTCCAATATTTCCATGTTATTAATGGAGGGATATTGATCGGTCCATCAGTGTTCTGGTTTAGTCTCCATCACAGAGGCAACCAATCAGGAACACCTCGGGCTGACAGCGCAGCGGTCAAAACTAAAGCTGGTCATCCCTCTGACAAGCTCCTCTTGTTAACCAGGAGTCATATTTTCACCCACAAACAGAATCTCAGCAGCCTAGTATTTCTGTCAGAGCTGTGTAGGAGCTTCCTCAAGAAATGTGCCAACATGTATTTTCTTGCAGGCTCACAATAAACAACAGCTGAATAATAGCTTCTTCTTGTGCCGCTAGGGAAAGGTTTCACCAAACAGTCATTATTGGCTGATTATATATAAGAAATACTGTAATGTGATATGTTCTCTTGAGATTTATTATCAAAAAGAAGCAAATAAATATTTTTAAAACATATGTATAATGTACATACTGAAGGTGTTTTTGTGGTAAGTTTTCAGAGGTTTGTGAAACACCCACTCTTGAGAACTGGGACAGATCATGTCCCACCAAAAAAAAAAAAAAAAAAAAAAAACACATTGTTTTTGGGGTGAAATATATATATTTTAAATTATTTTTTATGAAATAAATATGGTTTATTAAATATTGGTCTGCTTTCTTGTCCCAGACAAGAATTCATAACTTAAAACAATTAAAAAATTTGTTCAAAGCCTAAAAAATGTAAAACTAAGATTATATACTGATAACATCGGTGTCAAAATGTACTGTTATATTCATCTTTGTTTTAAAAAATATTTTTTATGAAAATGTTAGCCCATAAAAGTCTCAGATTTTTGTCAGCTCCATCAGATTTCATCATCATCATTTAATCAACCATAAAAGGAGTAAGCTATATCCCAAGGACTCCTGCCTCGCTTCCTGTTTGCCAAAAAGCAGGAATGCTGCTCAATAGCTGGTCAGCTTTCTATTTTTTTCATAAACTCATTTAACACTATGGATATTGAGTGTGTCTCAACCATAACAGGTCAACTCCATAGCCCTTATACATCAAAACTAAATAAGAGTTATGGTTTGAAAATCACTATTTTGATCAGCATTGAGAGAGCCCTTGGCAACTTGAAAAATAAAATGGCTACTCACTACGACTGCTGTGAAACTTTTTGGCCCGTTACAAGGTTTAAAAGTCAAGACTTTGACCCCTCCCAAATAATAAGGGTTTGTCCCAATTCTCAAGAAGAAACGTAAACTTTATTTTCACAGAATGAAGTCAAACAGCACTGGAGTCAGTGCTAATTTCCTTCTGACATTTTAAATTTTGAACTCTCTTGTCAGTTCTTATTCTTGTTTTGTTTTCTCGCTTGGTATTGCAGGAATATTTTAAGTAAGCTGAAAGTTACTTGTAACATGACTTTTCCTCAGACTGCACTCCAATTGAAAATGTCCCAAAATGACATATGACTACATTAAAGTGATGGCCACGTAACCCAACGTGTTCCCATCTCAACCTGTCAAATATCCCCACTTTGTCTGTGGACTTCCATGTCTACATGTGAGGCTAGGTATCCTCCTGTATCTGTTGTTGACCTTCCAGGACGCTGTGTCAATTTACTCTTGTTACACACAAAGTACACTTCCATTTTCACAGGAAATGTGCATTTTCTGGTTCTTCGATGCATACAGTCTTTTTCAAAACAAACGTACATCGGCAAAACACTTTGTATTTACATTTATTTCCTTGTGCAACAAAAGCATGTGGTTAGGTTTTCACAGGGGAAGTGATCAGCAGGCTCTTGGGTAAAAGTCTGGGGTTTGTTGGACCCATCCACCTACCCTCTCACCCCCCCATAGGGACTTTCCAGGTCCCTATATTATGTTGTCACTGCTGACTAGGGCTGCCACTAACGATTATTTTCATTGCTGACTAATCTGTCGATTATTTCTTCGATTAGTCGACTAATCATTTCATCGAAAAATATGTTAAAATGTTGAAAAATGTCAGTCTGTCTCGCCCAAACCCCCAAATACATCATCTAATGTCTTGTTTCGTACTCACGCCCAAGGGTTTTAGTTCACTGTCACAGGAGAGTGTGTAAAGCTGCCAATATCTGAACGTAAGAAGCTGCAGTAAGAGTATTTTGTGGTACTTTTATAGTACTTTTCTATGAAAAATGACTCAAACTGATTAGTCAACTACTAAGATAGTCACCGATTATTTTAATAGTCGATTAGTCATCGATTAGTCGACTAATCGTGGCAGCCCTACTGCTGACATTTCAAACTGACACTGTCTACTAACTAAAGCTGCCTGGCGGCATATCATACCATCATGAAAAGTGCCTTTTTTGTCAGTGTCTGAATCTGAAATCACTGACAAAGCTGGGGGTATTTGACACGTTGGGAAGGAGCACAGGTTGGATAACCCTAACCCTAACAGAGGCCCAAGGTTTGGGAAAAGAGGAGGAAAGTATAAAAAAAAAGTTGATACCTGTGGTTCTGCCGCATCATTTTTGATCCAGCAGTGTTATAGATGTGCAATCCTAAAACGAGTACTGTAAAGTGGAAGACTTAAAGAGCCCTCACAACAACATCAACCTTTGTTTCACCTGTTACTATATATGAGATCTGTCTGTACAACCAACAGTTACTCTACTGATTGGCTTAGACAAAGCTTAATATGCGGCGTGCCCCAGGGGTCATTGCTGGGTCCAATCCTGTTCTCTGTGTACCTTTTACCCCACCACATTTTTTCTTTATATATTTTACCAGTTATGCTGACAACATACAGCTATATCTCTCATTTAATCCCAAAACACAATTCAAACATCTTTCACTGAATAAAAAAGAATGGACATTGTGTTTTCTCCAGCATAAATATACAAATTATTCAACTGGCCCAGATACTGTTACTCAAGAGCATAGCATTGGGTGGGTACATGTATCTACCAATATCCAGCAACTGCTTAATTGTGCTAAGCAATGACTTTGAACAAAAACTTTAAATATAACTTGTTGTCCATCAGTGTCTAGTCAAGGGTATGCAAATAGTTAACAGATCTCGTTTTCTACTACAAGTCCCGCCTCCCTAACCC